ACAATAAAATCTGTGTAGATAATTGTTTTTGGAAGTCCTGATTGCTGATATTGTCTGGTCAGCCCAGGAAAGCGAAAGGAAATTAACTAATCAAACATAACGGCTGCCAAAAAATATAACAAACCTGAAGAAGATTGTTCATTATTATTGTCCCATCTCCAACATTTGCCTGAAGAAGATTTAGAAAAGCAGTACGGTTCAGACGAAGCAGCTGGCTCAATCGTTTAGTTCGGACTGTGAATAATTGTGGCCTATAACACAACAGACCAACCTCCCCAACAACATCTCCTGGTTTTGCCTCTGCAACAACCTACATTCATTCATTGCAAACAGAATTTACATTGTGATGGCAAATAGACTCTAGCATTTTCTTTTCCAAAACAATCAAACTAATTTAAACGGTAGGAAATTATCCTGAAGATTTGTATCGTTGCTTACCTGTTCTATTCCACCCTTTCGCGTTATAAGATCCTGTTAAATAGAGTAACACATAAGTAATCAAAATTCCTAGCTAATGACTACACTTGAAAGGAAGGGAGATCAACAGAATGATACAAAAGCGTATTTATTTATGAGTAGATTGATGGAATGAGATTCAGCTTATTCACTTTTTTCTCTAAAATGTTCTTTAATAAAGAAAACAGGGGAGCAACACAAAGGACAAAAAGATCAAATAGAATTCTTACTGCAGCACCAGTGACAAAAATATAGAAGTCATTGGGTGCTTCATTCTGCAAAATTACATCTTCTCTGGGAGGAAAATACTCGGCTTTCATCTCAGTTACCTTCAAAATAATAAAATTCAGACATTAAGCTTAAAAAACAAAAAAGGGTCCAACTTATAATTGAGAGTTTATCTGTATGAATGTGCATATTTTTGGTCTTGCTGTAAGATAATAACTTCCTATTGAATGTTTAACTGTAAAATATGCATTCTTCCTACTTAAAATAGTGATATTAGCTTTACCAAAGTAGTGATATTAGCTTTACCAGTTGGAAAAGTAAGTCGTTTGAGACTCCACGGAACAAGTAAACCTGATCAACTAGTGAATAAAAGAGAAAGTGTGAAATGCTTGATTGAATGGCTTTAGGAAGGGATTCAATGGTCTCTTGCTGGTGCAGCCCTTCTGAATCAGTTCTGTACCTCAAACACAAATGAGAAAGCATTTGATCTTGCAGCCGAACAGGTAGTTGGTTCCTTTTTGCAAAACTCGAAGCAGCTTGGATTGTGTCCCTCTAAATCAAACCCAAAACAAACTCAAATCAGAACTACCCAAATATAGATGAAAGCAGATAATTCTAAACCACCCTTCAATATTATGCAGCAAATATTCCTAGATATTACGCTTCAAACATTACTCCTAGAAATAGTCCCATCATTCTTGGTACAACATTATCAGAAAGGAACATCCACAGCAAAAAGGATTCTGCCGCAAGCAATTTTTACAAAAGAAAATAATAAATTTGTAGGAAGGAAAAATGGCAAGTAAAATAATACAAGATAGATTTACTCACGAATTGTCTTGTGCGACTGGTCCCATGGATGACGAGGTTGTTCATATTACCAAGCAAGTATGATAACAGGCCAAGATTAAGGAACATGTAGAATATGTCGAATAGCCTTTCCCTTGTATTTGCAGGATGGATATCACCATAACCAGTAGTTGTAAATGTGGTTATGGACCAGTAAATTGACGTAACATACTTGACCCGCAAACTCGTTTGTTTAAAGTTTCCCAAGGTTTGTCCAATCCATGTGCGGTCTGGCTCTGGATAGTTCTCGGCAAGAAAATAGAAGAAGCACGCAGCACAATGAACTACAAAGAGAGTCACCTACAAGTTACCCCAAGCCTAGTATTATTAGACACATATCAATCCATCTCATAATGGAAGAAATAACATATGTATTTCTATATACTCACACATGATAGCTTTACGTATCGAACCCGAACATAATTATAGTTCTTGTCCTTCTCCAATCTGTCATAATGATCATCAAAATATATGTTTTGATCAATTACTATTGAAAAGGAGAAAAGAAGAAGAGATATGATATCCCACCTGGCAAAAAGTTTACTGACTCTTCGGAGACGCCAGAGACGAAGTATATTAAAGTATCCATAGGACTGAAGTGGAGAAGGTAATATTTTTGTAGTAGCTTCATAAGGGATTGAAGAAATAACATCAAAAGCCAACCAGGTTCTTGTGTATTTCCAAGCAATCAGCTTTGGGTTATCAATGAGAAGATAAGAAGCTTTATCAAGGTATGCAACAAAGAAGGTCAAAATGATGTCAATGGCGAAAATCCCATTAACAATATTATCAAGTATAGCCAGTGGCTTTGACGGTTTTAAAAGAAATCCAAATTCAAACGGGCACACCCATGCTGTGTAGAGAACAAGTAAAATCAGAAATGCCTCCCAACATCTGCAAAATGATGAGCTTAAATTAAGTCAGTTATACTATATTCCCAACAAATTAAAATCTAACAGGGTCAAAGCCAAAATTGTCAAAAACGGAATCTGGAAACAAATATAAAATAGAAATGTAAACAGATCATGCAGAAAGAATTAAAAGGAACCTGTAACGGGGATCGAAAGGGGAGATAATGAAACGACGTTGTTTGATTCTGCGACAGCTACGAGCAGTTACACCGAGAGAAGGAAGAACGCCATCTGTAACACTCATTTGGCTACCTTCATCTCTTGACAATGCCTCTACACCTCCATCGGTTCTATCATCGTCATCTAGACCTCCTCCTCCGTTACAAAACTGCCCGATTCTTCTCTTTCTCAGCCACATTATTTTCATTTCTCAGCCACCACGCGTAGAGATGCGGCAAGTAGAGCGGTTTGTGCAAAGAGTGATCAGTTAAGAAGATTACTCTACACTGGTACTATAAATATGGTACGTGGCTCGTCCCTCCAAAACTTCAGTCTATGACACGAATTGACAATTTTACCCCGGTTTTCTGGTTAGCTTTTGGATCTCTTAACAGTTAAACATAACCAAAAGCAATTTTCTCCATGTTATTAACATATATAATAAGGAGTTTTTAATTAATGAGATGGATTATTCTGTGTTTGAGTGGGTGATAAGACATGAAGGAACCAGAGATGTACGTGTTGCTTAGCAGAAGGCAGAATCTTGTTATATGGTTGAAATAAACTCAGATTGAGACCGTGATTAATTGTCAAAAGAATAACTACGATCACTAAATGTGATATATAAAGAGAAGATTCAAATTGGAATTCGCAACATCACATTGAATGGCTGGTTGAAAGAGGAATCTGCAGAAGAACGTGAAATTAGCACAAAAAATATTTATGGTTGATCAACGACTGGCACATGCAAAGTGTTAAGAGAGTCTTAGAAATTATACGTGATGGATCTATGAGATTTGAATATAGTGCTGAGATTATATATATTGTAGAAAACATAAATAATAGACTGACAAGAGAGGTTTTTATAGTAGATTAGATGCTTAAAACAAATCTTACATCCACTGTTATTTTATTGTTTTCTGATTATTTCTATGATATTGCCCGTAAGACATATAAAGATGAAGAAATATTTTGCTTATAAAGAAAAATAATGAAGCTCAAATCTATGTCTAACTTTCATATGCCCAACCCCGCTCATTTATACATCTTTTAGGTCAATTCAATGAATGCTTTTGTAAGTTGCTCTGACACGTGGGGATCACTCCTTAACCCTTATCTTTTTGTTTTGATAAAGTTGGGACAGGTGTGCGGTTCATCCACTCATAGATAAAACTTAAATCTTTTAATTAATTGACAACTGTATCCCTTTTGTTTGGGGCAACATGACAACTCAGAACGATACAAAGCCTTTCAAACTCTGATTGGTTGGTAGTGTGATTTTGTAGGCACAACGGGTTCATTTACTTTGGTCCAAAGCTTTAATATCTTTTAGAAAACATTCAAATCCCATTATCTTTTCTTTTCTTTTTCTTTTTAGATGTTCGTCTGATGATTAGTAGCTTAATCATACCTCAAAATTGGCAATCAAATTAGAATATTAAGAAAATCTTTGATGGGCCACAGTGATATCTTAGGTCTTAGCAGCCAATTGGTAGTAGACAGATGGGTGATTAGATTAGATGTGATTCTAAATGAAGCATATCAAGTTTAACGATGCAAGTTAATTATAACATTGTCTCTTCTCTGATGATTTTGTCTAGATCAATAAATGCAGATTCTTGTAAACTGTTGATTGCTTTAACACCAGACATGAAAACACCATCACAAAGTTGAATGAGTTTGTGTCTATTTATAATGCCCAAATACTTTTTTGATGCTTATTATCAAGTAATCCTCTGTCGTTTCAGCTTTTCCTAAATTATCACCAAACGTTTCAAAAATCTTCACCCATATGTGGATTGCCAGTAGGACGAATCGAAAGTAATGTAGATAGGTATATTAGTCTTATGTTTGATTTCCTATCTGAGCATCACGTGAACTAGCTCGAACATCTACCTCTCCTCTCCTCTACAGTGTTTAGTTTCCGTATCTTGAATATCCTTATCTCTTGAATTTACATTTTTTTTTTTTTTTGGTTTTTAATATTTATATAACCTCAATCTAATAATCAATTTGTCATGCTTCCAAGTTATATTTGTAGTTATACTCTTTTTAAGCTCCACAAATTTCAAAATTGCATGATAATATTAGTTTAAATTGAAGATAATTATTACAAAATTTCATAAATAATTAATTAATTATATGAAAGAAATTAATAAGAGAGGAAATTATTTTAATACATATGAATTTGTAATTTTGATGGGGGGCTTCTGTAACCAAACTCTTGAAGAATTACAATAGCCCAATTATGAAAATTATATTCCGGTGGTATTAAAATTAGCTATTTTTCCGGAAATTAGAGTAAAGGAAGATACAGGCCCATTATGATACATTACTCGCCCAATTTCGGGCAATTCAGGGCCCACTAAGTCGACGCTAGAAACGGCGCCGTGTTCGTGACCCAACAATGTCGCTAAGGAGAAATCTCTAGAACGAGGGTTCTGGAGAAATAGGTAGAGAAGTCCAGAGGAGAGCAGGTAGCAAAGCGAGAGGAATATGTCGTTTTTGCAGTCTTTAATTGATCCCAGGAAGAACTGGTTCGCGGCTCAGCACATGAAAACCCTCTCTAAACGACTTCGCAAATACGGTTAGCTTTTCGAAAACCTAATTTTTCGTAGCTGCCTATTTGTTGTTTTTGTATTTGATCTAATCGAAACTAACAGGGCTCCGGTACGATGATCTCTACGATCCTTACTACGATCTGGACATTAAGGAGGCGCTGAATCGGTTGCCGAGAGAGATCGTCGACGCTCGTAACCAGCGTCTCAAGCGTGCCATGGACCTTTCCATGAAACACGAGTACCTTCCTGAAAATCTTCAGGTATTTAACTTCATTTTAGGTCGGTATTTGGAATATATACAAGCTTTCACTAAACATGTTTAAAAAATTCTCGTTAATTTTGATTATGAATAAGAAGTCTATTAATTATAAACTCGTTTTAGAGAATTAGGAATGCTGTCTGGAATTATGTAGTGGGTATATCTTGTTATAAATCATTTAATTACGAGAGTTGTGATTTTGTACTAGATAAGATCGTAGCTGTTTTACTGTAACAAACAGTCCAATTGTTAGTGTAACTATACATATAGGTATCTTGAGAACTACAACTGCTATGTTTTGGTGTTAGTATATTGATATCTAACACACATCTCGTTTTTCGTATTGTGATACCTTCTGATCAAACAGCTTGTCTCATTATGTCTTGATATTGACAATATAGATGGAACCGTTTTATGAGACCATAATCTAGTCGCATGTTTGCCAAACACGATTGATCATATTTATAGGTATTTCACAATGTACCAATGCATCTGTCTTTTGTGTTAAGAGTTGATATCAAACACACACATAGTGATACAAACGTACACATCTCAGTTTTTAATCATGTTGTGATACCTTTTGTTGGATATAACTTGTGTTAGTATGAATATGATTTCTGATAATAATTAAGTGATACTGGTCATAGCTAATATGGGTTCACTATACTTCTGAATTTGACATTTAACTTGATAGTTTATTTATTTTCTTCAATCTCTTTTCAGGCTATGCAAACACCATTTAGGAGCTACCTTCAAGATATGCTGACCCTTGTAAGTGTTTCTAGAAATATCAATAAATATGTTTTTTGTATTGTTTTAACTATAAATACTGCTATTTCACTAATGTTAGATTGTATTTGTTGATATTCTGTTGAATACAGTGAAATCTTGTTCTCAAATCAATTTTACTTTATCATGTCCTTATAATTGGATACCTTTTCTAGATGAATATTGAGCTTCTCTATTTGCAACATACTGAGTCTAATAATGAGCACCGACATTTTCATTGGTTGTTTGTTTACAAACAATACTGAGACTTGACTGGTCACTTGGAATCAATTAATCAATGTGACCAGAAAAAACTAATCTACTATTAAGTAGGTCCATGATTCTGCAGGTATACTTTGCAGTTGTTGTTTTTTTTTTTTTTTTTTTTTTTTTTTTTTGTAATTATTATTATTTTAATAATACTAGTTTATAGTTGTAGTTGGAGAGTTTTGTTTATGACTATGAGATGACTACATAGAATTTAGAATCTGCTTTTTAATGGTAGTGCTTTATGTTATTCAGTCTTCTGCTTTGATCACTTTTTCACCACCATTAATTTTTTTTTTTCAAGCTATTTACTATCCTACTATTGTATGAATTTCTTTGCTAGTTCAACATGATGCCTTTGGCAGAGAATGGGATGGTATGTTACTATACCTTTCTCACCTTGTTTCAATGTCACTGGGCAGCCTTTTGTGCTTTTTTTTTCCTGAAGATATCATGGCAAAAAAATTTCTCTGGGCTCAATTTTTTATCTCATAAGTTACTATGGTTTTGGATTATTCCTTGGGTCTGAAACTCCTGGACTAGAGAATAATATTGTTGTAAGTTTTCCCAACCTACATTAGAAAGTCTTTAAGGGAATCTATTTTATCTGCTTTTGTCACTTTTGCTGGCCCTGCTACCATTTTGATTCTGATGTTCCACATGATCCATGTAGTGAGATCCATTATCCCTATTTTCTACTGGTGGTGCAAATCGTTAAAAACTATATTTGGTGCTAAAGTTCTCTTTGGTAATGTTTGAATGATAAGTATGTCGTAAATAATTTTTATATTCGATAGAACTGTGTTTCTCTCTCCATCTGCTAGTTGATATAGACTTCTAGTGTCTATACATTTATTAGTTATGCAGTTTCTTATCAAAAAAATTATTAACACATGTACACATTATATATAATTGGAATAATTCAAAGCATTCTGCCTGATCTATATCATGGTGTATATTACTGTGGAAAATGTTATGTTAAAGATATTTATGGAGATCCTTTTTCTTGTCAATTTTTGACAAAGCATTTTTCAACATTGTGGATCTTCTTCATGTTTTACACTCTCAATAAGAAATATTGAGTGAAAACATATTAATTGACATAGGTTGTTTCCTTTAGTTATTTGTTGTATCTCTTGTGTTTTGATTTTGTAAATTTTTGTGCTTCTTTTTGTGTGTCTCTGTGCATATATGGAAAATGAAGATAACACTTCATTTTAATATGGTTGTCTTGTCTTGTTATATGAAAAAAAAAAAAAAAAAAAAAAGGAATATGGAATAATTCATTTCTGATAAATATTGAAACCAAATATGCACATTTAATGAGAATGTTAATTTAGAATAGAGAAATAAATGGTTAGGTATTCAAAAAATTATATATTAGAAATTTATGTATAAAGTTTGAAGTCTGCTAAAAATGTCCTGATGGTTATGTTTCTGCAGGTTAAGAAGGAGAATGCAGAGCGTGAGGCTTTGGGAGCATTGCCTCTCTATCAGCGCACAATCCCTTAAGCATCTTAGTGTGTCATGTAGCTATCACTAAATGGTGAAGTTTTAAATGAATGTCAGGATTTCGTTTCTCAATCATTTGTGCCAGTGTTTCATTGGAGTTACTACTTGGATGTGATACACTGGCCTTTTTCCAATAAATATGAACAACCAAACTTATAGCTTCTATTGTATGTTCGCTTCAAATATGATCTCCCTATATACTCTTGTCGAATTTGGATTGTCAAAAAGTTTATCAAAATTGATATTTCATGATTTATATCATTAGTTTGTTATAGGATGGTGCTTAGGGTGCGTTTGGTTTAGAAAATATTATATTATTAAGGAATGTTGTATTACTGAAAATATAGATTATCAAGGAATCTTTAGAAAAATGTGTTTGGTGGGTATGTTATAATAATATGTTTTGTTGAAATGATAAATGACTGGGCATGTTATGTAGATTATTAAATTGTCGTCATTTTTAAATAATAATATAATATTATTTTTATTATTATTTTATTATATTATTTTTTCAATTATTTCTTTTAACCTCCTTATATTTGAAATTTTCCTAACACCCCAATCATATACAATTTTAATTTGTAGCAAAATCACTTTCACTCATCTCAAGCCACCGTCGATAACCAACCATCACCATCGGAAGTTGTTGTAATGGTTCATTATCAGTTGGATCTGGCTGGTCGTACGTTGATAAGGCTTAATCTGACCAAATCTAGCTGTGAATATAGTCGTTTTATGGTTAGATCTGGTCGTGAATATGGTTGTTTCACGGTCAAAGATGTGGCCGTGAAAAGACCAAATCTTTGGTTGTGAAACAGCGACCATTTCATGGTCAGATCTAGCCGTTTCACGACTTTTCGGCCATGGATTATCCATGGTCGGTCTTGTGTGGACATGATGACTTTCGTCGGCGGCCAGCGGTGGTGGCTAGCAGTCGACAGTGGTCTTGGGTGGTTGGGGATATTTTATTAACTTTTAAACTTTTTTATGGCGGGGTGTTTTAGCTAAATTCTCAAATGTAGAGGGTCTGGATAATTGTTATTTGGTAGACATATGAAGACAAATGTGTCCTAAATGATAAAAGATTAAGGGCAAAATATGATTAAAATTAAGATTACCTCGTTAATCTTATATTAACACCCATTGAGAAGGTAATTTTATTATCCCCAATATTATCAATTGTAAACACTATTTATAATAAAGATTACGTAATATTTTATTATTTGACAACCAAATGAGGGAATCTTGAAAATTAAACAAAAATTACAGGATTAATCTTATATCACCCAAACCAAACGCTGCCTTAATTACTTGGTTATCAATTGATAAATTATGACAATTTATGATACTCTATAAACCTGATCATTGAAGATAAACAGCTAAGTTGACTGGTATAAGTTTGCTAGTATTGGGTACATATGATTTTCTGGGAGGATCTCTGTTATTATGATTGGTATTTCGACCTTGGCTGTAAATTTGACCTATGGCATTCTAATTTGACTAAAGTTATCTTTGTAAGGGCCGAATTTTGAAATTTTAACCTGTGTAAGAATTTCCTTAAGGGTGTTTGATTCCGAGAATGTTGGATTACTGAAAAGTTAGATTACCTTGAAGATTATTGAAAATCTTTAGGAAAATTTATTTGGTTAGTTGAAATAAATTAGTAGGTATGTTTTATTAATATGTTTGGTTAGAAGGAATAAATTGGTGGGTATATTATTTAAATTACTGAATTGTTCTCTAATTAAATATTGTTATTATATTATTTTTTTAATATTGATTATTATTTGGATTATTATAACCCCCTGCATTTATAAACTTAGCAAAAACAACCCTATAATAAAAGTTTGGAAAATCAACAAAGCACCCCCACAACCCAGCCACTGTTGGCCTCTAGCCGTCAACAACCTAATGGCGCACAGAAGGTAGGAAATGGCCTTCGTGCGTCGTATGGCCATTTCCAGCCAGAGATATGGTTGTTGACAGTCAGATTGATGGCTGTTAACGGCCATGTTTGCAGCCATTCACAGCCATCAATCTGGCCCTCAACGGCCAAATCTGTCACGATCTGGCCAAAAATGGTCATATCGACGCACGGTGACCATTTCTAGCCTTTTGTGCATCTTTCCTGCGACAGCTGTGGCAGTGGTTGTGGCGACAGGCGACGGCAAGTGGGTGGGGGTGGTGGCTTGGGTGGGTTGCAATTTGTTTTAAATTCAAGGGTAATTTTGTTCAAAAAGTTAATTAATTGGGGTAAAATAGTAAAAACAATATTCATGTAAATAAATTTAAAAATAAGGGCATTATTGTCCTAAAATTTTATTAGTAAGGGATAGAATTGTAACAGAAAAAAGATTACCCTGGTAATCTTACAATGCCTAAGAAAATGGAGATGATCAGATTACCTCAAATATTATCAACAATAACTACTATTAGTATTTGAAGATTACCGGAATCTTATATTACTTAACAACCAAATGTGGTAATCAAGTAATATAAGATGACATAACCCTAATAATCCCACGTTATCCCCAACCAATGCCCTTAAGGGGCCGTTTGGTTCGGGGTTAAGTGGCATTACTGGGATAATGTCATCTTATATTACTTGATTACCACGTTTGGTTGTCAAGTAATATAAGATTTTGTAATTATTATTATTTTAATAATACTAGTTTATAGTTGTAGTTGGAGAGTTTTGTTTATGACTATGAGATGACTACATAGAATTTAGAATCTGCTTTTTAATGGTAGTGCTTTATGTTATTCAGTCTTCTGCTTTGATCACTTTTTCACCACCATTAATTTTTTTTTTTCAAGCTATTTACTATCCTACTATTGTATGAATTTCTTTGCTAGTTCAACATGATGCCTTTGGCAGAGAATGGGATGGTATGTTACTATACCTTTCTCACCTTGTTTCAATGTCACTGGGCAGCCTTTTGTGCTTTTTTTTTCCTGAAGATATCATGGCAAAAAAATTTCTCTGGGCTCAATTTTTTATCTCATAAGTTACTATGGTTTTGGATTATTCCTTGGGTCTGAAACTCCTGGACTAGAGAATAATATTGTTGTAAGTTTTCCCAACCTACATTAGAAAGTCTTTAAGGGAATCTATTTTATCTGCTTTTGTCACTTTTGCTGGCCCTGCTACCATTTTGATTCTGATGTTCCACATGATCCATGTAGTGAGATCCATTATCCCTATTTTCTACTGGTGGTGCAAATCGTTAAAAACTATATTTGGTGCTAAAGTTCTCTTTGGTAATGTTTGAATGATAAGTATGTCGTAAATAATTTTTATATTCGATAGAACTGTGTTTCTCTCTCCATCTGCTAGTTGATATAGACTTCTAGTGTCTATACATTTATTAGTTATGCAGTTTCTTATCAAAAAAATTATTAACACATGTACACATTATATATAATTGGAATAATTCAAAGCATTCTGCCTGATCTATATCATGGTGTATATTACTGTGGAAAATGTTATGTTAAAGATATTTATGGAGATCCTTTTTCTTGTCAATTTTTGACAAAGCATTTTTCAACATTGTGGATCTTCTTCATGTTTTACACTCTCAATAAGAAATATTGAGTGAAAACATATTAATTGACATAGGTTGTTTCCTTTAGTTATTTGTTGTATCTCTTGTGTTTTGATTTTGTAAATTTTTGTGCTTCTTTTTGTGTGTCTCTGTGCATATATGGAAAATGAAGATAACACTTCATTTTAATATGGTTGTCTTGTCTTGTTATATGAAAAAAAAAAAAAAAAAAAAAAGGAATATGGAATAATTCATTTCTGATAAATATTGAAACCAAATATGCACATTTAATGATAATGTTAATTTAGAATATAGAAATAAATGGTTAGGTATTCAAAAAATTATATATTAGAAATTTATGTATAAAGTTTGAAGTCTGCTAAAAATGTCCTGATGGTTATGTTTCTGCAGGTTAAGAAGGAGAATGCAGAGCGCGAGGCTTTGGGAGCATTGCCTCTCTATCAGCGCACAATCCCTTAAGTATCTTAGTGTGTCATGTAGCTATAACTAAATGGTGAAGTTTTAAATGAATGTCAGGATTTCGTTTCTCAATCATTTGTGCCAGTGTTTCATTGGAGTTACTACTTGGATCTGATACACTGGCCTTTTTCCAATAAATATGAACAACCAAACTTATAGCTTCTATTGTATGTTCGCTTCCAATATGATCTCCCTGTATACTCTTGTCGAATTTGGAGAGTCAAAAAGTTTATTAAAATTGATATTTCATGATTTATATCGTTAGTTTGTTGTAGGATGGTGCTTAGGATGCTTTTGGTTTGGGGAATGTTATATTATTGAGGAATGTTGTATGACTGGAAAGATAGATTATTAAGGAATCTTTAGAAATATGTTTTGTTAGGAGGATAAATGAGTAAGTATCTTATGTAGATTACTAAATTCTCGTCATTTTTAAATAATAATATATTATTATTTTTTAAATTATTTCTTCTAATCTCTTTTTATTTGAAATTTTACTAACACTCCAATCATATACAATTTTAATTTATAGTAAAGTCACTTTCACTTACCCCAAGTCATTGTCGGTAACCAACTATCACCATCGAAAGTCATCGTAATGGTGTATTATCAGTTGGATTTGATTGGTCGTACGCTGATAAAGTCTAATCTGGCCAAATCTAGTCGTGAATATGGTTGTTTCACGGCCAAAGATGTGGCCATTAAAAGACCAGATCTTTGGTTGTGAAACGGCGACCATTTCACGGCCAGATTTATGGCGTTTTACGGCCACATCTTTGGTCTTGGGTTGACATGACGACTTTCGTCGACAGCCAGCGGTGGTGGCTAGCAGTCGGCAGTGGTCTTGGGTGGTTAAAGGTATTTTGTTAACTTTTAAACTTTTTTGTGACGGGAGTGTTTTAGCTAAATTCTCAAATGTGGGGGGTCTGGGTAATTGTTATTTAGTAGACATATGAGGGTAAATGTGTCCTAAATGATAAAAGATTAAGGGTAAAATATGGTTAAAATTAAGATTACCTGGGTAATCTTATATTAACACCCATTAGGAAGGTAATCTGATTACCTCTAATATTATCAATTGTAAATACTATTTACAGTAAAAAGTTATGTAATATTTTATTACTTGACAACCAAATGAAAGAATTTTGAAAATTAAACAAAGATTATAGGATTAATCTTATATCACTCAAACCAAACGCTATCTTAATAACTTGGTTATCAAATGGTAAAATATGACAATTTATAATGGGAGTTGCTATTCTTACAAAGAAGCCTACAAAGGAGGTATACAAAGTTAATCTCCACCCTCCATCTTCATCATTTATCTCTCTTTCTCTCTTTCTCTTTTTCCATTTTTCTTTTGTTTTTTCTTTCACTTTGTAAGCTATTTTGTAAACTTCTTTATAAGGATAGATTTATCCATTTATAATACTCTAGAAACCAGATCATTGAAGATAAACAACTAAGTTGACTGGTACAAGTTTGCTAGTATTGCGTGCATATGATTTTCTGGGAGGATCTCTGTTATTATGATTGGTATTTCGACCTTGGCTGTAAATTTGACCCATGGCATTCTAATTTGACTAAAGTTATCTTTGTAGGGGCCGAATTTTGAAATTTTAACCTGTGTAGGAATTTCCTTAAGGGTGTTTACTTCAAGGAATATTGAATTACTGGAAAGTTAAATTACTTTGAAGATTACTAAGAATCTTTAGGAAATTTATTTGGTTAGTTGAAATAAATTAATAGGTATGTTTTATTAATATGTTTGGTTGAAATGAATAAATTGGTGGGTATATTATTTAAATTATTGAATTGTTCTCTAATTAAATATTGTTATTATATTATTTTTTAATATTGATGATTATTTGGATTATTATAACCCCCCTGCATTTAAAAACTTAGTAAAAACAACTCCATAATAAAAGTTTGGAAAATCAACAAAGCACCCTTACAACCTAGCCACTACTGGCCGTCGGCAATCACCGCCGGTCGTCAGCAACCTAACGACGCACGGAAAGTAGGAAATGACCTTCATGCGCCGTATGGCCATTTTCGGCCAAAGATCTGGCTGTTGACAGCCAGATTGATGGCCGTTAATGGCCACGTCTGTAGCCGTTAATAGCCATCAATCTGGCCGTCAATGGCCAGATTTGTCACGATCTAGTCAGAAATGGTCATATCGGCGCACGGCGACCATTTTTAGCCTTCTATCCACCTTTCCTGCGGTGGTTGTGGCTGCAGGCGGCGGCAAGTGGGTGGGGGTGGTGGCTTGGATGGGTTGCAATTTGTTTTAAATTCAAGGGTAATTTTGTTCAAAAAGTTAATTAATTGGAGTAAAATAGTAAAAACAACATTCATGTAAATAAATTTAAAAATAAAGGCATTATTGTCCTAAAATTTTATTAGTAAGGGATATAATTGTAACAAAAAAAAGATTACCCTGATAATCTTACAATACCTAAGAAAATTGTGATAATCAGATTAGCTTCAATATTATTAATAGTAACTACTATTAGTATTTGAAGATTACCGGAATCATATATTACTTGACAACTAAATGTAGTAATCAAATAATATAAGATAATATAACCCTAGTAATTTCACATTACCCTCAACCAAACCCTTCTAAGGAGGCGTTTGGTTCGCGGTACTATCAGATTATTGGGGTAATGTCATCTTATATTATTTGATTACCACGTTTGGTTGTCAAGTAATATAAGATTCCGGTAATCTTCAAATACCAATAGTAGTTACTATTGGTAATATAAGAGGTAATCTGATTACCTCCATTTTTTTAGGTATTTTGAGATTACCAGGGTTATCTTTTTTTGTTACAATTTTATCCCTTATTAATAAAAATTTTGGACAATAATACCCCTACTTTAAAACAAATTTACATAAATATTCTATTTCAATTTTACCCTTGTTAATTAAAATTTTGGACAATAATACCCTTATATTTAAAATAATTTACAGACCACCACTCACCCAGCCACCACTGCCACTGCCACCCAGCCACCACCACCGACAGCGGCCAACCACTACGGACCACCGCCGAAAAATCGTCAGAGTTCTTGAAAATGAACGAAATTCCGTGGGAGGCTCCGGAGGCTTCGATATGGCCGGAAATGGCCAGATCTATTCTGGCCATTTCCGGCCAGATCAATGGAACTGGCCGTTAACGGCCAGATCAATGGAAGCCATTAACGGCCAGGTCTGGGTTAGATCTGGCCGTTAACGGCCACGGACATGGCCGTTAACGGCCAGATCTAGCCCAGACCTGGCCGTTAATGGCCAGGGATCTGGCCGTTAACGACCATATCGAAGCCTCTTCGTCACGGTGAGGTACTCACGGGTGCTTTCGGAGATTTCCGGCGGTGGTTTGCGGTGGCGACAGACGGCGGCAGCAGGTGGGGGTGATTTCGTCAGTTTTATATAAGCGGGGGTGTTTTAGTAAATCTGAAATATTGGGGGTTAAAAAAATTATTCAAAAATTAATAATAAAAATAATCTTATATTAATATTTAAAAGGGGGACAATTTAGTAATTTAAATAACATACCCACCAATTTATTCCCCATAACCAAACATATTCATATAACATACCCACCAACTAACCAAACACATTTTTTTAAAGATTCCCAGTAATCTTCTAAGGTAATCTATCTTCCCAGTAATCTAACATTCCTAATAATCTAACATTCCTCAACCAAACGCCCCCTAAGGGTTATCTGCTTGTCCAGAATTTCTCAATAGGCCATGGATGTTGTTTGGTTTTAACCCAATTGATTAACCATTTGAGGCCTGGATGGGGTGGCTCTTTTTACCATCAAAAAGCTTCTATTGTAACGAAGAGACCCATTATATCTGTCAGGGGCGCGAATGAATGATGATACTTCCACGCTTTCACCCAAAAGAGTTCTTTCTCCTCCACTAGCTGATTTAGAGTTTAGACCGCAACACATGAACTGATTGGTTGCCACATTTTCGACCACAAACCCATGTGCTGATGCCAGTAGCTTTTTACATACACCTACTTTGCTTCTTATGGGATCTTCAAAATCTGCATTTCAGTAGTTAGGATGTCTACGTTCAATGATTGAGGAGTGGTAAGCTTAACACCGCCATCTCCATCTTCATGTAATCTATTGAAGATGCTCATTTCATATGTAAAGTCCCATTTTGTGTATCGAAAATCACATCATTCAGACATCCATCGTTATCATAAATTTATTAACTAAATAATTTGTACGTCGGCTAAATTCAACCATCTCAATCCAACTTCCATTGAATAATTCATATACACAGTTCCTCTTGTGGTGGTGGTGCAATAAACAACAGCTGGGATTAAGGAAATAACAGTAAAGCAGTAGCATGTTGAAAAGATTAAAATTTTTTAGGTTGCCAAACATCCCCCATTTTAAGAAGAGGTCACAGTCTTATCTTGAAACAACCTTATTTAATGCCACCCACGTGAGTAGTTTTCTCAACCCCCCTTATGATTTGTCTAGACACAACCCGCGTCGGCTGTCTTGTCTCTTTCCACGATTCAGCCTCTCAAAACTCTTCACCATTTACATTTCTCATTTATTATAGACTTGACGTTCTGATCATTATATTTCATCCCCGTGTAAACGGTGAGAAGTTGGAGATCTATCAGAACTAACCCTTCTATCATAAACACTTGATGAGGAATCTGGGATCACAATCAGGTAGGGCCACCCCTTTCCCATTCGTACAGGAGCCCTAAACTAGATCTCCCCACGGCTGGTTCGAATGTCATCATCAATCTACTCTGGGGAAAAAAAAAAAAAAAATTTAAGGTAATAATCTTATTGAGGGCTCGGTATGAAACTTTAAATTTATGTACTTTATAATAATTATAAACAGTANTGCCAAACATCCCCCATTTTAAGAAGAGGTCACAGTCTTATCTTGAAACAACCTTATTTAATGCCACCCACGTGAGTAGTTTTCTCAACCCCCCTTATGATTTGTCTAGACACAACCCGCGTCGGCTGTCTTGTCTCTTTCCACGATTCAGCCCCTCAAAATTCTTCACCATTTACATTTCTCATTTATTATAGACTTCACGTTCTTTTCATTTGATGTGCCTACAAAATCACATTAATGGTAACACCAATCAATCAGAGTTTATAAAGGTTTTATACTCTCCAATAGTTAGTGAGTTACCACGTCACCTCAAGACAGAAGAGATATAATTGTCATTAATCTAACAGATTCAAGTTTTGTCTATGAATG